GAGGGGGAGTCCTCCTCCGTTTGACTGAAAATGCTGTTCTGCAGGCTACCCCTGACTTGGAACCAAAAGCTGTATGGCGCTAGGAAGCGATTCGCAATCACTGGCGCACCGAAACTCAGGGTCGGGAGACAATGCATACAATTCTTTTCTTTTTGAGACTTTTAAGTTAAAGGTATGATAAGGCAGATTTTTTCAGTAACCTTGCTATGGATGATCATGGCATCCACTGACACTAAAAAAAAAAAGATTTTTTGTTCGGAATGCATTCAGTTTCATCCATAAAATTTAAATATGACTTAAAATGGACCACGCGATGAAACACCGCGTTCAACCTTTCACGAACAGCTAGGTAATTTTGTAATTGCATTCACACAGTAGGAAAAAAAAATTACAAATAGTCCATTTTACAGTTGTGTGCTTGGTTTTCAAGGTTTTGATAGGTTAAGGTTGACCTTGTTTTGATAAAAACCCTGCTGCTTTCTGAATGCAAATTACTTTGCTATCATGCTAACTTGATACTGGTCTCTATCACAACAAGATCACCTTCAGCCTCACTCTAAATCAAAAGTTTGGCAACTAAGTACACAACTATTACCGAAGCCAAAGAAGGAGAGAGAAAAACAGCATAAATATTGTGCGAAAATTAAGCATTGTAGCAATTTGAGATAATTTGTTGGCATTCAAAAATTAAAAAATCTCTGAAGAACAGATGTTTCATTCATAATATATTGCTTTTACCATCATGATAGATGAGGAAAAATTTTGATTGAACAACGTGCCATTTGGCAAAAAAGCCACGTTTTAAGAAAGTGAAGTTTAAATTGAGGACGCTTTTAATATTTAACGATAAAATTAACTTTTCATTTTGATAAGGTGCACGAGTATTTATTTCAGTTTCTAAAATGAGTATGTTAATCAATTTTAATTATACTTTTTCGCGTTTGTGAGGAAAAAAAATTGTCACTATTTATTATAGATTAGAGTGTGATATGTCACGCTGTTTCAATGAGCGCCAAAGAATTGTTTCGCATTGACACATCTACCACATCCATTTCCTGTAAATTAACGGTTAGCCCTTAAAAAAGGGAAATACCGTTAGAGAAATGAGAAATGTAAAGACTTTACGGTATTTAGGTAACCTCAGACGGTCTTTTTCTCGTCGAAAGAAGACTTCGGATCTGTTAAAATTTTATGATCTGGGGTGAAGCACTTGAACAGGGTAAATTGTTCCAACATACCTTTATAAATATTCTCAAACGAATTATCTGCAGCCGCATATCGTATCGAACAGTTAAGAGTGATATTGAGAGCCATCCCTCTTTATTCACGGCGTCGATTGCAAAACTGCAAAAATCTTTTCACCAAATCTGTGTTGTTCTTGGGGAAAATAGCACCTAAAATGCAAATACATGTATAAACTTGTTGTTAACCGCCAACTGGCCAGGTTAACTGAAACATTTCCCTTCAGACGATTTAATTTAACAAACTATACTCATTAGAGAGTTTCATTCGCTTACCTAATTTGAAAAAAACTTGCCCTCCTTTCACTGGAAGAAGACGAAAGCAAACAAAGAAAGCGAGGAAAGTAACAAACACCAGATTTGTGCAAGACATTTTTCACCGTTGACATTTGTAAAACTGAAGGCCCTTCGAAACCCTCAACGCTGTATTTAATTCTCCTGTTCCTTTTTGATTCGTTGGTTGCAATTGTGTTTATTCATTTGTATGTCGTATGCAAATGTTTTCTTTTTTCTTAGGGCGATAAATGGTTCTAAATCAATCAAACTTGGCAAGTCCTTGTACAGGCCAAGGGGCTTTCCACAAAGCTCTTTTGGGATGATAAATCATTAAATAGACACGAATGCAATCAACGCGTTCTGATGGCAATTTCATTCTTCTTTGATAATCTACAATTGCCATCACTACGGTACAAATAGTGATTTGGGTTTTTAACAAATTATCTTGAATTATAATGTCATGTCACGAAATTGTCTGAACCGCGCGAAGGTCAAAATGTTTGCAGAGTAGGTTTCTCCAATCGCATTACCCTACTGACTTATTTCATGGCGTAAGTTTAAAATGTTTTAAGTCGTATTCTCTATCTCCTCACGCAAATGTTTCTGATTTTCACGTGAACTGTAAAATCACAAACGTAGTGTGTAGATGGCTTTTGCTTGTCGTATATTTTCCTATGTAGAATAAAGAGGCCTCCATACCATAACTTTTTTCGCGAACGAAACGTATTCGGTAAAACCTTTACACAGACTCAAAGGCAACTCAAGTTACCCACTTTGTGTTGTTCTAGAATGTGCGCACCTTAATTTTGTAAGGTTCGCGCCGATTATCATACACTTCTCACGACCGTGATAAAATAAAACTGATAAAAATGTAAAAATGTATTTATAAATTGGCTTCTAGTGTTCCGTTTTAAAAAGATCTCTTTATGGAAATGAAGTTAGTTCCTAATCTGATCAAAATTGTTTACGTGAAACTTCCATTCTTCATTTAACAAAGCGTTTATGAAAATAACGGCTTTAATCTTTCGAATAAATTATGGTATCGTCATAATAGCGAAGATTATTACTTATTACCGTGAGAGTCTGAAGTAGGTGACAGTTACCGCTGTCAAACTTGAAAAATGGGCAATAACATTTTAAAAACATTGAATAGTCTGGAAGATTTTGCAGAATAGTGAAAATCAATTGAAGCCTTTTAAAAACATTTTTCTTACTTTGTCTAAATCACACTAATTTTGTTTATCAAAACTATTGGATGAGGTAGGAAAGATGTCTTGTGTTTGTATCAATTGTTGAGCTTATGAAGCTCGCAGCAAATAATTTAAGTGACGCAAGACATTACCAATTCACCATATCCTATTAGGAAAATGTTCTAGATATTCTATCATTCGACTAGCCGACTTTGATTAGTGTCATATGACTCTGGACGGATCACGAAAAATAATATTATTTGAGGTTTTAAATATTGCGAAGGTGACAGACTAAATGCGCAGAAATGTGCGTGGTCATAAACGAAAACAATTACTTTGTATCCTCGTTCTTAAAGCCAGTCGTTCTCACTAACCGTCCGCGTCCGACCCATGAGGACGTAGGAACGAGAATGAGCATTTTACGGAACTGCACGCATGAGCAGAAACTTACTCCCTTTATTTATTTCAAGAACTCGGGTTGCGAAGCCAAGCCACCAGTCGCGAATTTATGTCAGTTATTTCTATTGTCATAATTTCAAAATATCTATATTCCATAATCAAACAGTAAATGGTATAAATTTGTTCTGTTTTTTGTTTTGTCTTGTTCTTTGTTTTTAATTAAAGTGCCTGTCACCTTAATCTCTTACTGCTCTACACTAAGGTTGGACACGCCAGACTCCTGCTGAGAACAACTTTTCCTGGGTTTGCCGACTCAAAGGACTTCTGCGAATCGCAATAAAAATGGAATTCCGAACAGTGCCTTTCACCGCTTTTCGCTAAATTCCATGGTTTTCCATTTAACCTGGAAACTGATTTTGTAGTATTTTCTAATGTGCAACAGTCTCTTGAGACTCATTCTCATAAGCCTCGCTGCTATCGAGTGCCAAATACTTGAGGCAAAACGTAAAAATGTGGAAAAGCCCCAAATTATCGGAGAAACGACTGGCACAAGCTGCTCGATGGCCGACGCAATTTATTATGCAAATTATCAACAGCTAGAAGGGGTGGTCAGAATGAAAACAACTTAGCCTTCGGTTTAATGGGAATCTAAGTTAGACCATACCAGGTTTATCCTGTCCGAAAGGTATTCTGAAACATTGGACACATAACTTGGAACGCAGAGGTTTGTTTGAAACAGCCTCATAAAGAGCGTTTTAAGAAATTATATTTGGTTCGGAGTATTTGTATAAATAATTACTTTAAGTACAATATAGGAGGTTTTAAGCATACAATCTTTTAATTGATACCATTTCCTATGTAAACCAGTAAAATACACATGTTACACAAAGCCTTGGTAAGCGTCTGATTAAAGAAAGCTGCTCCAGTTACATCTGATTCAATTCCTACACGAGTTTGTTCTTTCCAATAATTGATTTAACCACTTTCCTACAGAAAATAAAATTCAAATAAAAAATACACAAAAATATTATTATTCCTGTGAGGAGAATGAAATGTTTATTCGATTCAAAAATAGAATGAAAACTTGTATATAACATGAGGCAGTTGAGAAATGCAAGTTTCATCTTCGAGTATTTAAAGTGTGTATTACCCCCCAATGACTGCAAAATCACATACATTTCAACAGCAGAACAAGTATTTCAGAGCAACCTAAAATACAAATCAATGTGGTTGTAGTTGTTTTTCTCATAATTTTTGAAGAAAGAGTCAGAGATGACCACCCGCCTACTCTTCCTGTCATGAGGTTTTAGCAATCAATCAAAAATATACCAAAAGTGCTATGAGACAATTTTAGATTTATTGAAAGGATGCAGCAGTGAATTAAAACAATTCCAGTGGTTAGTTCACGCTGATACCATAATAATAATAAATCTTCTGTTGAATTCTAAGCAATCTTATTCTACTTCTTTATAACAAAGTTAGGCATACACTGTGTATCTCTTTAAAGGAGGCCTTTTTTGATGGATACCACATTTAACAAACAAAGATATCTCCACATAGAAGAACACAGTTTAACCATGAATGGTGAAGAACAGAGAAACTACTGCTTTTTAATATAACATTACTAAGGACATATTCTGTCTAAATGTATTTTCAGAGAATAATTTTTTATTTCTCTGACTTTGTGTGAACTATTTCATTGCAATCTCTAAAAGTTGAACTTTATGGTTAACTAACACAAATTTTATTTTAAGTCTCTAAATGCTTGAGTTGCTACCTCTTAAATATTATTAAAACAAGAAAACTATAATAATAAAATTTTCTAGAAGGAAAAACCTGTTTGCAATATTTGTGACTTATCAAAGTCATCACATACTGATAATTACCCAGAAAGAAACTAATATTTTGTTAAAATTAGCATTAGGTCAGTCTTTCCTTTCAGTTATTTGAAATAAACCATGGTTCCTAAAAAAACTTTTCTAAGTAAAAATTTTAAGTGAACCAGTTTCTTTGAAATGTGAACTTTAGCACTATCAATCATACTCTCATTCTGAACAACACAGCAGTCACATGTCTGTGCATGAGCAAACACTTTATTGACTAGATGGTTTGCTTTCAGGCTGTCAGAACCAAGTTGTCTCACAAACTACAAGTAACTACATGAGCCAATGGGTCACAGAATTTTAGATGCATACAACTTTTTTTTAGTAAAGCTCAAAACAGAATGATAAGTCAGCAAGATTCTTGTACTTGAAAAATCTTTTGTGTTCAAAAAGTTTGAGCTTTTCTTTTTTTCTACTTTGGTTTCCTTTTCATAAATTTATACGAACATATTAATTTTTTCTCTCTCATGTTGCCAGACAGTAGTTGTTTCTTATATTTTCCATAGAAATTTTGCACAGGCATTGATGCCCAGGCACAAAAATGGATTTCCTTTTAAATAACTACACTTGACTGCTGTATCCTTCTGAACAAACTTTAACTCCTACTGATCAGTGGATATGTCTCTTATAATTAAAACTAATAAATAATATATCACATAATAAATTATTCTGTTTTTGTACTTGCCCTATGGGCAGCTCACCCCTATAATCTCTCATTACAGGTGACATAATTATCTGATGAGTGGTTAACTAGCAACTGATTGAAATAAAAAATGATTTCCAGTGACAGGCTTTACATGATTCTTAGACAATGGATGTCCATTCAGGCATATTCTCCAAACATTTCCTAAGGCGTTGACGAGGAGAATTGTTTGACAATCAAGAACTTCTTTTATGTGATGATCACTTCCTTATTCTTATGACCATAATGTTTGATCCAGGTGTAATATTGTAAAGAGAAATTAGATGCTGATCACTCAGGGGTCAAAGGGTTAGGTTATGGGAACAACAATCATCTTTAATTGGTCAAAGTTGGATCAACTTAAAAGTTTTCATTATTGAATTACTGTTTCCAAATGATTGCATGTTTTCAGGGATTTATATCAATGTGAGAATCTAGTTTATAAACTTTACTGTTTGTTTACAAGGATGTCTTATCTGCTTATCTTGAAATGATTTATCAAAAAAAAGAAATGATAACAGAATTGTTTCACCAACAGAATGAATTTATAACAGAATACAAAAGCACCCAGCAATTATACTGAAAATTTATTCACCTCTTGCTCATTGAATATTTTGGAATAGTCCTTCCACTTAGTCTTGGG